ACAGGAGTTCATGGTTAGCTCAAGATTAAGATCGAGTTACCTAGGTCATCGAATGAAAAGAAAATCAATCTCAATAGTAAACGACATTATAAAGAGATAGTGATTTTCTTCATGGTCCGATCTTATGCAATACTCATTGCATAGGACGCCCCCACTCACATGTCTTCACATGTACAATTTAGTAATCACATTGTTTATATCATATACAAAAGTGGGCCGCATCCATAGTGTCCCCAGAATAAGGTACTAAGCCTTATTCTTATACTATAGATCATTTTGACTATATACTTGAACTTGATCCACTTTTATGTCTCTACATATAGTTCAAGTAATCATACTATAGCCAGAGTGTTCTTAGTTTATTGGATTTAGATTAATGATCGTAAAGTTCACTTTATTCAATAACAATCTTTACTGAATAAACATCAATATAAACATCAATAATAACTTTATTGAAAATAGAATGTCTTTGTTTACAAACTAGGAGTTTTAGGACATAAAACCCAACTGTTTGTCTATTAAAGAAAACCCTTTATGGCTTAAAGCAAGCTCCTTGCGCCTGGTTTCAGCGTTTTAGCTCATTTCTTCTCCCACTTGGTTTTTCTTGCAGTCGTGCTGACACGTCCCTTTTTCTTTCATCAGCAATCTAACCTTATCTATTTGCTTCTTTATGTTGATGACATTATTGTTACTGATAACAACTCATCTCTTATTAACAGCTTTACTCGCAAACTTCATTCTGAGTTTGCTACCAGCGTTTTGGGTTCTCTCAGTTACTTTCTTGGTCTTGAAGCTTCCCCCACTCCTGATGGTCTCTTTATTAGTTAGTTAAAATATGTTCGAGATATTCTTACTCATGCTCAGTTGCTCGATAGAAAACCAGTTCACACTCCCATGGTTGTTTCTCAACACCTGACTGCTAATGGTTCTCCTTTCTCTAATCCTACTCTCTATAGATCTCTTGTTGGAGTCCTTCAGTACTTGACTATTACACGTCAAGATATTGCCTATGCTGTCTATTCTGTCAGTCAATTCTTGCATGCCCCTACTGCAGATCACTTTCTTGCTGTCAAACATATTCTTCGCTATGTCAAAGGAACACTCCACTTTGGTCTTATCTTTCGTCCATCACTGTTCCTAGTACGCTAGTCGCTTATTCAAATGTTGACTGGGCTGTTTGTCCCAATACTCGTCGTTCTACATCCGACTATTCTATTTATCTTGGTAACAATCTCATTTCTTGAAGTGCCAAAAAGCAGCCTACTGTCTCATGCTTCAGCTATGAATCTGAGTATCGTGCTCTTGTCACGACTGTTGTTGAACTTCTTTGGGTTATGCATCTTTTGCATGACCTCAAGATCCCTATTTCACAGCAGCATTTACTCTTATGTGACAACAAAAGTGTTATTTTCTTTTTAGGTCTAATCCCGTTTCTCACAAGCGAGCCAAGCATGTTGAACTAGATTATCATTTCCTTCGAGAACTTGTTATCGCTGGCAAATTTCGCACACAATATGTACCTTCCCATCTACAAGTTGCTAACATCTTCATGAAAAGTATTTCTCGACCTCTTTTCGAATTTTTCAGATCCAAGCTTCATGTTCGTTCAAATCCGATGCTTGGGGGGGGGGGGGGGTGTTAAGGATAGTTGCCATTTGCCTTACATTACGGCTTACCATATTTTCCCTTTTATTAAAGATAAATATTGTATTCATTTATTATTCTTTCCTCTTATTGTTCTTTCCATATTATTTGTAATTTACCATAATTTTGTATACGGTAAATTATTATAAATAGAGAACTTTCACCACCATTTAGGTGTGGTGGTTTCGGTAAACATTTTCAATAGGAAACCAAAAAACTAAATGACTATAACTCACGATTGCCTTTATTTATTAGGGTATTGAGATGACTTATCCAAAGTCTTTGTCCTTGCTTGCCTTAATTTCTTTCCTTGGGTTCTTTGGTACTTTTATCTTTACTTTGGGTGTTACAATCTCCTTGTCAGGGTGCACCTCATTGTAGTATGCTTTTCACTTTAGCAACTATGGGTCGGGGTCTAGATATGCATCCTTTCATAATTGGGCCCGGGGTAAATGTTAGCTTCATCACACAACAATACCTAATAATTTAATGTAGTTAACTAAGTTCAATAATTTATATTAATATTGTCGGAGTGTCCCATGTTAGCTAATTAAAGAGAATATCATGGATATATAAGTAAAAGACACTATCTCTATTAATTTTTTTCTTTTTTTTTTTTTGTTTTTGTTTGTAAAAAACAAAAGTAAAGCAACCAGAGCTTATGTTTAAAGTAGACTTAATCATATCATTGTAAAGGTCAATTGTCTTATCTCATTAGTCATGCTCTTATTTTAATTTGGTCATATTAATAGAATCTTCAAGGCCGTGTTCTTTTATCTTAATTCGACAATATCAATAGAAATTTCAAGCTCACGCTCTTTATCTTAATTTGACAATATCAATAGAATTTTTCCTTAGTGAAAATCTTTGATTATAGTGAAGATCCATCACTGTTTGTTGCTTTGGGATTTAAGCAACGACAAGGATTTAAGTAGGTCATTTCTATACTTCACAAGTAATTTTAAGGACTTAAGGTCTATAAAGAAGGAATGGAAAGGAAAAAGTAGGTGGAAAAAAAAATCATTTTTCTAATTTTTACCAAATTTTTAATTCTAAAAGAAATTTGGAATATACTCCAAGAGGTAAAAAATGACCATAAAGAGGAAGAAGTTTTAGAAAAATTTTAGATTTTTTTGAGAAAAATAATAATAAAATATTCATAAATTGCAAATTACCAAAGTACTCTTGAACTTCAAGATATTTACGAGAAAATATCGTGGATGAGTAAGTTAGATTCCCAGCCATGCACAATCATCAAAAAATTGAATTGAGCTCCTAATCACAAGTAATAAGCATTTAGATTTTGGGTATCCTACTCTCAGATTTCTTCCAAATTCGAGAGTAATTGTCCACTATTTCCCTTCAAACTTGTTCTTACAGCTTCTAAATAAGATTACCCACAAGTTCTATGAAGGAATTGAAAGAGCCATGAACCTATTCCCTAATAGAGGCCGCCATTGAAGATTTCAAAGAAAGCTTGAAAATTCAATTCGAGAATGCAAGCCAATTCGTCGAGTGAAACCAATCCCAATTAGTGTCCAATAAAAGGAAGTTTTGCATTTCTCAAACAAGTTATAGACCGAGAACAATTCTTAAAAGTTAAGGTCCCATACTCAAAGATGTTCCTCCAAACTAATTCCTTTAACTTGAAGGAAGAGGTTCCATGAAGAAATTGGACTTTGAAAACCCCTGGAATCTGCTGCCCAATAAAGAATCCCCTGTTTTAAACTTTGACGAGAAATCATATTTTTGACTAACTTTGGAGGCAAATTATCTTAGACTACGATCTACAAGAAGGTATAAATTTAATTCCTAGCTCTTCCTTGTAACACCATCTTTAGGTTTCATGAAGAAATCGAGGGGAGAAACACTGAGAATGAAGTTGTGGAGGAGTATTTTTAGGCGTCGACGACCATAGTCACGCATGTCTTCTTCTTTCCAGAGGTAGAAGTTGATGACGTGGCCGGTTCAATTGAACCAACCATGTTAGACCAAATCGTGACTTTTCCTTGGTTTTTCTCAATTTTAACCCTCTTTCTGACGGTTTCTCATGAAAAGTTTTATGGTTCCAAAAACTAGACACCAAGAAATTTGTGGAAGAAAATTTTAGGTAATTCAGATACTGAAAGCTCGAGAACGGAGGTCTCGAATGTCAACAACAAGGTAAGTGGCCATCTTAGACTTTTCTTAAGAAATATTTGTTGGAATCGCTTGGATTTCTGTACGAACCTTAAACCAAGTATGAGTTAAGAATATACGAAAGAAAAACACAAAGAACTGAGAGTTATGGGTACTCTATCCCGTTACCTTTTTTGGTCTTTCATGGGGAATAATCTAGGGCCATATAGGAGCAAGAAGAGAGTAAACTACCTTAGCCACGAATCAAGAACCTCCTAAGGCCTCCCACGGTACAACATGTTCATGGCTCGGACTACGCTGCTTGAATCGTATGAAGCCTTGAGTGTAGGTATTCAGATTATGCCGCTTGGAACGTATGAAGCTTTGGGCATAAGTATTCAGGCTGTATAACAGGGCAAGCCATGGATCCAAGCTTAGACTACATTGCTTGGAACGCATGAAGCCTTCGACGTAGGTTCAAATTGTGTCGCTGGAAACGTATGAAGCCTCGGACATAAGTTGTCTAAGTTCATAGCTAGTATATAAATCCTAAGAAGAGTGTCTTGAAGAACAAACAAGAATAAAAGAAGAACCTAGAAAGTGGACCAAAAACGAGACAACGACCCGGACTAGAACATAGATGAAATATGATGTTTTATGATAATGGTAGGGATGAAATAGTTCTCTCAGACCACTGACACACTGTTTGGTTTGAGTGGGTGAGATGTGCGGCTGAGTCGAAATAGAGGGAGAAGACAAAAAGTGATCACGAGACGCATGGAATACCCTCACAAAACTCCCCTCTCTATCTCTCATTTGAGTTAGTTTTGTTGGAAAGGCAAACCGAAACAGTTAAAGCAGCAGCATGTGAGCTTTGTCTTTCTCTCTTCTTGGATTACCTTTTTGGGTTCGGAATTGGAAGCTCCAAACCCACACATGTGACTCCACCACATGCATCACCGCTCCTCTCCTTTTTTCCCATCATTTTCAACCATTTTTATCTATAACATTCTTTTTTCTTTAAAACTATTTTTTATCATTTTATAACTTAAATCTTTTTTAAGGACCAAATCGTTCTCCTCTCGAGCAGATGTGTTTTAAAAACTTTGATGAGGAAAAGTACGAAACGAAAGGTTCAAAAAAAAAACATTATCTATCGAACCCAATTTGGTGCATTCATGGAAACTATGATTCTTTTAATTCTTTAAGTGTGTGTCTATATATATATATAATGTACACTCAATGAATCATCAATAAAATCTCTCTCCTTCTCCTTCTCCCTCTTTAGTGTAGCCAGTTATAGAGTTTGGCATGGCGAGGAAGCAAGTAACGGAGATGTTTTTTGCAGTTATGTTGTTCAATTGCCTTTTGTTAGCACAAAATCATGTAAGTTTCTCCCGACCAACATTTTTTAGTTAACGATTATTTACGTCTTGCTCGTCCAAACCCATGATGCTCTACAATGATATGATATGGTCCACTCTCAACTTAAGCTTTCGTGGCTCCACAATGATACTATTCCTTACTTATAAACCTATTATCAACCCCTTAATTAGTCAATTTCTGTGGGTATGTTTAGAGCATCAGCGAGGCTCCAACTCCACAGCCCCAGAGTGGCGGCAGCAGCAACTATCCCGATCCCATGGTACCATCAAAGTTTATTATCATTTTATAAGAATATCCAATTTGGAAAGTAATGTATGCAATGTTGGGTGCCTAATTTCAGCATGGAGTGACTGAAGGCAGCCTGGAACCTGAAGGTAAAAACAATTTGGTTTAGTTTAAAAAAATATGGGTTTAGAAAGAAAGGAAAAAGGGTAAGAAAATATGGTTGCAGAGTGTGGAGGTCGATGCGCGGGGAGATGCTCAAAGACGGCGTTCAAGAAGCCATGCATGTTCTTCTGCCAGAAATGCTGTGCCAAATGCTTGTGTGTGCCGTATGGGACTTATGGAAACAAGCAGTCTTGTCCTTGCTACAATGAATGGAAGACTAAAAGAGGAGGCCCCAAATGCCCTTGAATACTTATACCATTATACTATTACTTGGCTCTAAATTACAGTTTTATAATTTACCTCTTATCAATCTTTACCTCCTCCTACTTGTAACCTATTTCTTACTTGCACTTTAATTAATTACTTCCAACAATAAACCCATTAAAGGGGACCTGTCGTTGTCACGGTCGTGTTCCTGATTATATGCATTCCATGAAATAATAGCTCAAAGATGAAAATTGAACATAAAGTTTTATGTGGACAAAAAAAAATTATTAAAACTAAAATTATAGTTATAATTTCTTGACTACAACGCTTAAAAATATAAAATTGGCTAAAATGAAAGTTACATTATCATGACTAAGATGTATTTAGCAATCATTGTGAGTTGTTTAGGATGTCTTTACTCTTACGTGAAAGAAGCTTTGAAAAAAGTTTGTATTAAAAATACCAAGTAAATGACTCCACTTCAAATAAGGCGGTGTATCAAAAACATCTTATTGGCCTAAGTCAAAATCATTAGATTTTCTGAATCGATTATTGGTCTAACAATCCTTGAGCTTCTACGGCTCCGTGGTCATGGTATCTGGCTTCACCCCGACCAAGGTTCGTAAAGATCTTTCTAGTATAGATAATCTTCAATCTGTATCACCTAAAAATCGAAATTGAATCCATCAAAACTTTTCAATTCCAATATTTGAACTTTTCATGTGAAATGTCAGTGGTTAGGATTGCACAACAACCCACATAATCAATAAACACAAAGAGAAATAGGAGAGAGAATGTAATGAGAAATATTGGCTAAAAGATTTGTATGGATGACTGTACACAAACAAAATACATAAAATAAATAAAATACACTGCCTAATGGATTATATTATGGATTCAGTTTTATAAATAATGTAACCAAAATATCTACCATATATCTCTATACAAGATTTTTTACTATAAATAGTCATGAGGCTTTATATACCAACACTACCCATATGAAATATCATAGATATCTTTTATTATAAATAGTCATCATTCCATATACCAACAAAAGACTCCATATACCAACAAAAGTTCCAATTTGAGACCTATCTTGCTAATCGCGACTTGAGTTTTTTATATGATCCCTTAGGGAAGATTCTCCATAATTGGTGAAAGAACTCATAGAGATTTTGATCCAAAAACAGAGTAGAGCGTGTGAAGTCCAACAAAGAATGGTAAGAGAGAGTAACGTACCTAATTTGAACGCTCGTAATTCAGTCCATGGTTGCCATTTAATTTCAAGAAAAATGCTAGGGCATTTCCGGATCTATGCTCTATAATCTTGGTGAATGAACCATTTCGATTTGAGTTTGTGTTATAAAATGTGAAATTAAAGGAAAAATCTAATCGGAATTCTGATTTGCGATTGCCCGGAGGAGAGAGAAAGTTTTCGGCATGCCACATGTTGACCAGTGAGAGGAAACAGGGGCTCTGCCAGGTAGAGGACACGCCTCAAGCGCGGTGTGGAGCAATGTGTCTCCATCTAAACGAAGATACGAGACCTCTCTGCCGACCCAATTCAACATGCGGTCTGACTCGAACCAACCATGACTCGAAAACTTAATCAATCTGACCCATAATCCAACCCAAACGTAGATCGGTGATCTGTGACTATGGAACTTTCCCTGCATGTGGCACCTAGGCATGATTTCCACCGGTGAAATCACTCCCGGCACGTGGACCACATGTGTGAATCTCCTTTTAGTTCGTTCGACTTTCATTTGCTAGATTTTTGTCCCAATTCTAATACTATATTTTTTCTTTTTATGTGAAATAGGACCTACTTTAGGAAATTCAATTCTTTTAGACACTCTCCTAATGAAAAATGGTGGGTGACAAGTACGCAACAAGCATGTAAATTATCACACAGATTTAGGAAAAAAAATACTTGTGGGATTCAGTAAACCTGCCTGAGGTGGTTAACTCCTTCCTGTTATATACTTTGGAGAAATGACTAAGCTAGAGAATGGTAGCATTAAATGTAGAAACTCTGAGCATTGTTTACCTATCGTTATCATGCTTTACATTCCGTTGTACATATGTTATATATTATGTTGAAAGGAAGATGAGAGAGATTTTGTAGTTTGCGCAGTACTTAATGGATTTTATCGCCCCATTGAGCATGTGTGAGTGTTTTGCATGAAATGTTGTAGGATGACCTTAGGTGGGAGAATGTGTACTCTTCATTAATTTAAAAGAACTAGAATCATATTAAGAATACGAGTTATGATTAGGTTGGTTCATCACTAAATTTAGATCACTACGCCCTAGTAGCTCGAGCTCATAAGGTTGCGAGTCATTGACGAAGGGTGGAAACCCTAGTGCACGCGATAAAGGTAGAAACCTCATAAGGACTATGACATGAACTCAAAAGGTAAGGGTTTTGAAGGCCACCTAACCTCTCTAGGAGCCTAGTAGACCACCATGGGAGTTTTCTTAGGCTGCGAGTTTTCTTAGGCTGCGAGTAGTGTGATCGGTGTCAACAGGTGCCCCACTCCCCTTTCCCTACTTCTAACGAGAATATAAGATTTAGAAGGTAAGTATGACCCCAGCTTCGTGATATGACCAGGGTTTTTTTTATTAGGACCCAATAGATGCTAAGCCATTTCTATAGAGGGAGGTGAGACCATCTCGTATAGCCCAACAGCTGGATGGGACGAGATGGTCCCCATTAACCGCTCGGGCATCGACCCGGGAAGAATCAATTCCAAGCTTATTGATAATCCATGATCAACTTCCTTTCGTAGTACCCTACCCCCAGGGGAAGTCGAATCCCCGCTGCCTCCTTGAAAGAGAGATGTCCTGAACCACTAGACGATGGGGGCATACTTGCCCGACTGCCATCATACTATGATCATAGTATGAATAGTTTTTTGAAATTGTCAATATAAATATAATCGACTAATATGATGCAATTCGAAGGATTTTTCTGTCTTTCATTATTCCATAGAATTTTGTGATTTGGGATTTATATTTATGAATCGTTCATTCTAATCACTATTACCCATATAATTCTATATAGAAATTCTTTTATTTGAAATTGAATTGCATTTTTTTTCTTTATTAAAAAATAAATAATATATTCAAGCTTCACGTTCGTTTAAATCCGACGCTTAGCTTGCGGTGGGGTGTTAAGGATATCAAATATAATATATATGGTAAACTATAATTTATTACTAGATATCCTTAACACCCCACCGCAAGCTAAGCGTCGGATTTAAACGAACGTGAAGCTTGAATCTGAAAAATTCAAAGAGGTTGAGAAACACTTTTCATGAAGATGCTAACAACCCGGTTCTTGGCCATAAAAAATTGCAGAGGGATCGCCGCTCAGCGGCGATGCTGCCTTGGCTTCGGCGAGAATATGTCTAACCCATGAAGAGGGATTGTCGCTTAGCGACGATGCTGCCTTGGCTCTGGTGAGAATATTTCTAACCCCAAGAAGTAGAAGGGGAAACCTAGAGCAAGGGACAAAGACAATGTTGAAGCTTGAAGAGTCGCCACATTGGGCGAAGGAGCCAATTTTGGCGAGAAGGGCAGTCGGAAGAGTCGCCTCATCGGGCGAAGAAGCCAATTTTGGCAGGAAGGGCGGCGGCAACTTGGTTGGCGAATAGGCCAGTGCGGCACCCAGATTCCGAAGGTAACTCTCTGCAAAAGGTTGATAGGTTTAGGTTAGGGTTTATGTGAAGGATGAAGGTTGATTGGAAAGAAAATGAGAGAGACTATATTGGCCAAGGGGAAAACCGATTGGGTTGGAAAAGGTGAGGTTGTATGTACAGAGTATGACAAAAAGTGATTTGGAGGTCAATAGGGTGGAGCCGAAGAGTAATCAATCGGCTCCAACTACGATAGCCATGAAGACTGCCCCTGCGGCGTCAAAACCAGCAGGGGTGGTGGAGAAGAAGATTAGAGGATTCAAAAGCCATTGAAAAGAAAGGATCGGGGTTGTTAAACCGAGAGGGCTCTGATACCATGTGAATGTTTGATTAATCCACCACACCATAATGGTGTGAAAGTTATCTTATTTATAATCAAATAAATTACAAGGATATGGAAATAGTAATAAATGGAAATAACAATAAATGGAAAGATACCTATGATAATAAGGCAAATATTAGATATTTGCATTATAATAAAATATCAAATATAATATATATGGTAAACTATAATTTATTACTAGATATCCTTAACAAGGACCCAATAGATGCTAAGCCATTTCTATAGAGGGAGGTGAGACCATCTCGTATAGCCCAACAGCTGGATGGGACGAGGGAGGGGTCGCAACCCCCGAACGAGGGTGACTTTATGGACGTGTGGGAGATGCCAATTAACTTCCTAAATATGATGCTATATAGTCTCATAAGAATGAAGCCACAAGAGACCCTAAAGGAGAGACTAAACCTTGATGTCCTAGAGTCAAAGAAAAGTTCATGGGAATCTATTATGCTAAGAATACGATAAGAGTCCATAAGTAGGTGGCTTACTAAGTAACTACACTTTTTTTTTTTTTTTCAGGTGCATAACACTACTGGTCGAAGAAAGGGCGTGTTTGGAAAATGTGGAGGTTACAGAGGGAAGCAGTTTCAGGGCGTTTGTCTAATCCTCTTTTCTTTTATAGTTTGACTTTCATGACTCTTAAAAATTAAAACTGGTAAACGATTTGTTACATTGTATTGAAACTTTCTTCTTTTGAAATCTAAGATTATTGTGTTGATGTTAACCGTTTTCTTGCATACATATTACTCCCACCTTGCCTTTTGGCCATGACCCATGGTAGAAATTTTGGGTCATGACAAATTGGTATCAGAGCACAAGATTTTTTATATTGTAGACATTTAGGTTAGAGAGTCGTAACTTCTATGGCCATGCTTGCTAAACACGTCATTTGCGACCAAGTAGTCATCCGGATTTGGACCGTAGAAAAAGGGGTTGAAGATGTTGTTTTAAGAGTCTTACTCTTTTGTATGACTTCGTTATAATTGCTCATTTTTTCGTGGAGACATGTTAAAGTGATTAGTAACTGTGCTTGTGGTTCTCATGTCGCCAAAGGGGCGAGGAGCTTATGTCGGGCCTGGACCCAGG